ACTCACTCTCTCACACAGACACACTCTCACAAACACACTCTCTCACACGCACACACTCTCTCACACGCACACTCTCTCACACGCACACTCTCTCACACTCTCACACGCGCGCACACTCTCTCACGCGCGCGCACTCTCTCACGCGCGCGCACTCTCTCACGCGCGCACTCTCTCACGCGCACTCACACGCGCACACACACTCACTTGTACGCGCACGCACACACACTCACTTGCACGCGGACGCACTCACACACACACACACACACGCTCGCACGCGGACGCACTCACACACACACACGCTCGCACGCGCACTCTCTCACACACACGCTCACACGCGCACTCATGATGCCAACCCTGAAACAAAATACAGAACTACCACATTTTGCTATAAGTTTGATTGCATCATATAATAATTGCTGTTAATAGTGTTCATCGTCTGTTTGATTACGTCTTTAATTGCCCACTCACTCACTCACTCACTCACTCACTCACTCACTCAAATCATGTTGGCTGTCATGTATGTTTTGTTGACCTTGGTTATTTTGTATATAAAAAAAAAGAAAGAGCGCTGGTGTGAGGTTTAGACAGCGATAAACACAAACTCACCATCTTCTCACTGTCTGAAGGCATGTCAAACACACAGCGCAGCTTGGAGTCCATCAGCTCATCCGGTTTGGCATCTTTCCACTGCAAATGATAAAACACAACATTAGCAGGTTTGAATGAGGTCAGGCGCTCACACACATTTCTCTCGGGCTCCTGCGCTCAAATATGGACGGATAAAAATAGTGTTCCCTGGATTTGGAGGATAATTGATTTCTGAGTCCATGTTTATTATTATAAAACGGATAGTTCCGGGCCTTGATTCTGATTGGCTGAGCCGCGTTCGAAGCTGTGTCACATATTGTGTATTTAAAACACTATTGCAGAAATCTGACCTGTTTCAGTGATGAATGACTGACTAGTATGATCACATCACGTTTATTAGTGCGTGCTCAAACTGTAATCCAAATGCATGGAACTGTATATGCAATACTGAAATGTAGGCCTTATAGAGCTGAAGAAGAGCTGAAGAAGCGGCTCACCATGGCTTCCAGGTCGCTCACGCTTGCCGGCGCCAAGATGGACTGCACCATGAACTTGTGCTTGCTCTTCTCGTTTGGGTCGTAATCAAACGGCTGCAGCATGACTGGAGGAGAGCAGAGAGAGCGTCAGGGTCACAGCACGCCGGATCCGCTCACGAGCAGCTGGGTCTCACCTGAGATGCTGACGGTGGCGCCGGGATCGATGACGCCGCTGTTGGGCCGCACGCAGTAGCGCCGAGGAGCTGTGGTCTTCACTTTGAAGCATACTCTTCTGTCAGACGGGTTCCTCAGCTTCAGGCTAGTGGTCACCACATCTGTGAAGGGTCCTGCACACATCAGGAGAAGTTAGAGACGATCAGTGTAACGAAGCTTCATCCGAGCGGCTCACAAGTCCTCAGACATGCCACTCATAAATAATGCAGAAACACCCAGGCCTCCTTCCTATGCTTACAGTTACAGCACACACACAACCAGCCGGTTCTGATGGACCAAACACGCTTCATCATCAATAACTAACCCTCACAACCAGTCTGTTTTGACCCAGAACAGATGCATACAAATCTCAACCAAAAAAAAAACATTTTTTTTTTACAATTATTTTTTAAGAGAGATGTAATCATTAAAAAATGTTTTGGACCCAGGCATCATGTGTAGAGAACTAGTGGCAAAAATGATCTAAGACGTCAAAAACTTGTGTAAAATCTATTGATTGCAGCATGAAAAAATCATGCAAAGTTTATTCAAGTAAATTTAATTTATTAGTATTATTATATTTATGCTGTTTTGTTGAAATAAATACGTAGGTTTCATTCATTTGGACTGTTTTTGAACAATTACACGAGTTATAAATTCCTTTCTAATTCTGATAATTCTCAGATCAAATGTTGCTATAAATTTCATACAATGCTATATTCAAATAAAATTTCCACTCGATATTTTATAAAATGTATATATATTTGGCATAATCGTGTAATTCGAGGGGTAAATGCGGTAATAACATGGTAATACTTGTAATTTTATCCATTTATGAGAATTTGCTGATCTGATACAACATTGTTTCAGTTGAAAAAATTAAGTTATAACTATTTTATAAAATAACAGACTTTATGCATCATGAGAGTCAATAAATGCAGTGTATTAAACTGAGCTGAGCTGAATAAACACTTCATACACTGCTGTTCTGAATGCTGGAGAAATGCGAGTTTGTCAACAACACGTTTAGCCTTGAAACAGTGCAGCAGTAATAATAATAACAGATCTGATTAATTCAGCATCTCAATCTTTCATCTGTTCTCGAGCACTGCCTTTAGCTCTGAAGCTAACAGTGACAGCTGACCGACACCGAGCACACTAACGAGTCAACATTCACCCTCACTAGACCGAGCGCTTCCCCCACAGGCCTGCGGGTCCCCGGGCCTCGCGTGGAACGCCAGCCGAGGGAGTGCTGCAGGCATGCGGGCGGGCCTCCGCCACCGAGCCGCCACACTCGTGTTTACCTCTGAAGCGGAGGTCGCTCGACGGCTCGAGGATCAGAACCTGCTCCAGTTTGGACATGACAGCCGTTCAGCGGGACACGGTCGCGTGCTGCTCAAGAGCCCCGGCCACGACGCGCAGCACGGCGGGACACGTCACGCAGATGAACCGGAGAAACGGCCGCAGCTTTGGTGTCCCGAGCTCTCGCTTTATTTCTGTAAGTGCGTGTTTTCATTAAAAGCTAAAGGCGCGAGAATTATTGGCCTCGTCAGAATCGCGTCAGCAGCTGTGCGCGGGAAGGCCGCAGTGCGCATGCGCAGAGACTGAGCTCACACGTCATTCCAGACAACAAACACACATACAATAAACAATCAAATAAAACAAATACACACAAAAGCGCAGAAACGAATGTTAAATGATGAACAAGAAAACTGTAGAGTGATTAATACATATACATATTTATGGAAGCCCGTTTCCGCCACTGAATTGCGACTTTTTATCTCACAATCCTGACTTTATAACTCGCAATTGTGAAAGTCGCATTAATGTTTTTATTTTATTTTTTATTCAGTGGCGGAAACAGGCTTCCATAGATATTTCCACGTTTTTACCTGTTTTTATTATTGTTATTATTATTTCATTGTAATTATGTATCTTTTTTCTTGTCTTCACCTGCCTACTGTAACATGTTCAGCAATTCAATAAAAAAAGCACAGAAAATGTATGTGTGAACATAGACATAAATAACAGGAACGTGTGTGTGTGTGTGTGTGTGTGTGTGTGTGTGTGTGTGAGAAAGTGTGTGTGTGTGTGTGTGTG